ATGCTTCACTTCGTTCAAGGCTAGTATTTGCTCTAGTCTGCGTTTAAATTAAGACAGGCTATCTCTTGAAGCGTTTCTTAATGAACATGAACTACCAAACAACCACCTAACTTTTTCAGTGAAAAACAGTAAACATAATTCAAATAAGCTGAAGAAGAGTTGAACAGTCCTTCAAAGAAATCTCCATTCCGTTGTATGTACACTGTGTCGTGCTGACTTGTTTCCATGGGTGAGAATTGAAGCGCAAGCATATTTGAAGGCAAATAGCTTGCCGTTCCGCTCCTTTATCACAGCAGACCAGTTTAGCTATCGTTTCTCGTTACCGAAATCTTCGGTCGTGTGTATGTTTGCGTGTCCCTACTTTTCATCACTCGCTAATGCCACGCAACGTATTTAAACTACTCTACCTGCTGCAACTGCCCATCATCGGTGTGCTGAGCACACTAAGCGACTTTGTTCCACACTGTGAAATAGACTGATTTTCACCCCGGCCTCATCACATCGCCTGGAGAGCAGGAGCGCAATGGGACAGTACTCTGCATTACTTCATTATTGCGTCATATCATGATGATTCTGAGCAGATGGTGGTATTTGTTCTACCATTGATCGTACTATGTACAGTGTATTTCTCAAGTGTCGTTGTCATCGTCATCTGAGGGGATCAAGTACAGAGTACCCAGATTAATGATGTCTGACGCTTTGGCTTCTCAGAATGATTTAGGCGATGTTAACTGCAGCGACAGAGCTGTCCCTCGTCGCAAACAAGTTCGCCTCTAACAGCTGTTTTAAGGTGTGATGTTGATTTTCGACGTGCCTGCAACCATTTTTTCCTTCCCAGAGAAAAATTGTTTCGGAGAAGTAGTCATTCTCTCTCCGGATGATTCTGTCAAACCACGACAGACGCCGGTCCCTGATTTTTCAGGTAGCATTCTCAAGCCAGTCGTCTCCAAGATCTTCTCATTCTTTATTCGATGGAACTGTTGCACTTCCAGTATATTCTGTAGGCACCGTTGTTGAAAAGTGTCCAACATCTTTTCATGGCGCTTTGAAAGGGGGTTTATGTTTCAAGGCTGTAAATCAGAACTGAGAAGACGACGGCATTCAGTATGGTGATTTTGTTGCCGTCCGGATAGATCTGCCTTGCCACACTTTAAAAGTTTCCCTCAGTTCACAGATGCCAGCCCTAAGTGCCGTTTTACTTCTAAATCACAGCTTCCATCTCTTGCAAGTAGAAAGTCGAGGTATTTGAAGTTTTCGATTTCCTCAATGGTTGTTTTATTCCATTGAATCATTGGGTCGTTAATCAAGTCAGGTGCGCGCAAGATCTTCGTTTTGGTGGGGTTAACTTTTAGGCCTACCTTCGAGGACACTTTGAACACTTGTAGAGTTAGTTCCAGTTAGCCATTGACGGAATCGCTCAGCACCACAATATCGTCAACGTACTCGAGGTCTGTTGTGAGTACTGTCGCGTACCTTCGGCTGAATCGTTGTCTGATAGTAAATCCCTTGCTGTTGTTGGGGGGGGGGTCGACGCTCGTTCGCATCATATAATCAACCACCACATTGAATGATAGACATGAAAGCACATCTTCCTGGCGTAGTCCACGTTGATGTGAAACCAGTCCGACAACGACTCTTCTGCTCTGATGGAGCCTTTAGTACCTTCGTACGGTCCGTTCAGGAGACCGATGATCTTCTGCGGTATTCCGTAGTGTCACAGTATGTATCACAAGGAATGACAGTGTGTGGAGTATATAGCTGGTCGGAAGTCGACGAATGCTGCATGCCAGGGTAGTCTGAAGCTCCTTTCCTATTTTATTATCTTTAATACACGACGATTTTATCCGTACATGAGACTCTAGTTCGAAGCCTTATTTGACATGATCAAAGCGTTCTTCAATCTTCGCGTCAGGATTCACGCAAATACTTCCTTCAGCGCATGTAGAAACTTGATCCTGCGGTAATTGGCACAATATGAATGATTTCAGCGTTTGAATTAGGGAGTTATCACGTCCTGCTTCCAGTTTCAGGGATTTCCGACTTCCTCCAGATGAATCCATTTCAGAATTTTCGCACTAATCCTGTCGTGTCCGCAGGATTTCGAGCATCAGCAGATATGTATTGGCATGTCCGATTCAGCTTTCGATGGAACAGAGCAGTCAACATCCAGTTCATCCCCGGTCTTTAAACTCTGTTTCCAGGTGATCCTCTGGAGCGGGCCAGTTGGTGAGCTCTTCGAAGTGTCCAGCCCATCTCCTACGACGCTTTCTTTGAACCTGCTAGGGTTTCGTCAGACTTGCTGCGAATCATTCAAGTTAGAGGCTTATGTCTGCCGTCATTGATGATGATATTGACTTTTCTGTACAGCGTCTTCCAGTCCTTCCTGAAAGCCGCCTGTTCCAGGTTCTGCTGTTGGAATTCCATCCGGTGGCGCTTGTAACATGATAAGTCCTGATGACTGGTTTCCCGAGATGCTGATATTATCGCTTCTTCGACTCTTCTGGGTTCTCAAAGAATTCCTGCTTCATCGCGTTTCTTTCTTGGTATTGAGTGAGAGTTTCTGCCGAGATCAACGGGTGCTTCATCTTTTTGCTTGGGCCGAATATATCTGCTACAGTGCCGACGATGCCTTCCTTGATCTGTTGGAACAGTGACCATATCCTTTACAGCAATGAAACTGCTGCTGATTTCATCTTGGAATGTCACATTAGTTTCTGGATCTTTGCACTTTATGGTACCGAATCTGGCTCTCGCCCCTTTCCGAGCTGTTCTCTTGAACGCGACCAATTGGAGGCGGAGCTTTGCGACCGCCATGAAGTGGTCCGAGCGAATGTCGGCTTAACATCGTGCTGGGACATCATGAAGGGCATTGCGCCACTTCCTTCTTACAAATATGTAATTCAACTGTCTCCTGATGCGGTCACCTGCCGTTGTCCACATGGGTCTGACAGTTAGGAACCAGCGAACCACCGACAACGAAGCCGTGCGTGGACAAAGGTATAACTGTTGTCAACCAGCGCCCTGTAGCCGTTTTGGCCCATCACATAATGCCTGTTGGAATTGTCCCCACCCTCCTGTGCGTTCATGTCACCGGCGATTGTCGATAATTGATGGCATGGATAAGAACCGAGAAATGCGTGCAAACACGCGTAATACCTGCTCTTTCTTTGATCGTCCGCAACACTGATGGGGGCGTATACGACCACAGCGTGTTCCTTCACGTTCTTTTGTTGCAAGACGGCAAACAAACATCTCGTCGGTCGTATAATGGACAGTGACCAAGGCTTTCAATGCTTGTGGCGACAGCAGCACTGCCACTCCTGACTCTCGTCTGGAATTCTCTTTCTTAGACCACTGAAATTGCCATCATTTTTCCAGCCGATTTTTTTCCGTGGTCTAGAGTGAGTTCCTGAGATCATTCAGCTGTGCGGTTGACGTACTCCAGCTTGCTGTCTCCGTTTAACATTCGTACGTTCCAACAAACTATACGGATGTACTCTTTGCTGATGTTGATCGGCTGGAGATCGGATTTCTTTGTTTTAAACGTTCAGATCTGTGGACATAAACCACTTAACACACAGGCGTCGCGTAACCGGGTCACGTAGGGGAGCGAAAGTGCTGCCCGACCGCTCACGATGTCGAAAACTGAACAAGTTAGACTCGTAAGTTAACAAACGCCAGTGATTCTAATCGAAAACGAGTGCTTCAGAGAAATAAGTTTGTCGCTTTTTCGAACTGCTTTGAATGAACGATTTCATCTGTTAGTGTAAAACTGCTTCTTTTTATGATTACGATGAATTTTTCTAGAAAGTTAATCGCTGAGTGGTTTCTGACAGGGTGACCTGATTTTACGTTCCCCGTTCAGCTAAATGTTTTTAACTGCTAAATGCAGTTTCTGTTTTAAGGATACACAGTGGACAGTTGACTGGCTACAGCAAATCGATGCCATTATTGGCAAGGTTGAACACGTTATGTAAGGCGGATATGGATTCCGTTAGGGTAATTTTTAGTTGACCTTTGCGCTGACAACTTTTAATTGACTGTTCATCGAACATTTAGGATAAAGTAGGTGTCAACCAGGCTGCCCTTCGTTTGATGCAAAAGCAGTTAGACGAAACCGACAAAGTATCGTTGTTCAGTGAGGCCCTTGACCGCAAGAAAAGCAAGAAGCGAAGCAGCAGTGTTTTAGTGCAAAACGAGCTTATGCGGTTTCTGTAAAATAAAAGTTTCTCACTTGATGCATCTTTTTTCTCAAAAGACCGTTTTACATGTGTCTGTCTGACTTGCAGAATGTTTTTAATGTCTGACTGTTCATCGCTTTGCAGCTTGGATGCTTGATGTGTTTGTACAGTTGTGCTGTGCGCTGACGCCTGAAATGGTAACCGTTTGGGACTTGATGCGATCCCTACACCAGCGGTCGAGATGCTTCAGACATCTGTAGTAAGTTTCCTTTTTTTCAATTTGACATGAAGTAACCTCAATATTATGTTTGCTGTTCGTGTTGCTTGGTGGCGGCTTTCATCGAAATGTTTTGATAAGCGTTTTACGAAATGTACTTTCTCACAGTTAAGATTTATCACCTCAGTTAAGCCTTGAAAATTTGTTGTTAGCTGGCTACAGCTAACCGAATTAGCATGTCTCAGTCATTAGGTTTGATTTAAAGCCGATCGAAGATGACGTGTGACATCACTGGATGAGTTATATGACGAAGTTGCACCGCCAGTGACAATTCGGCGCGAGACGTCTGGCCGTTTTGGCGCGAAACGTTTCGGCGCCGATATAGTCGTTATCGACGTGCAGTCCTGTGGCTCGCATTTGATTCTGTATGAGTGGGCCGTGGTCATCTCTATCAGCTGTAACATCCAACCTAACAAACTATGAGAAGCTCTCCGTGAGCACAAGTAAACCTTTTATCAAATTAATGAATTCCGAATGTTCTAAGATTTCGTTCATCATCAAAAGTTCATTATTTGTATATTAATATCTCACAAAAACAAAATCACAAAGCATCTGTCAAACTAGATGCGAGATTACCCAATTATTGCACAAAATTTAAATATGTTTCAACTTTAAAGTGAGCCTTTCATAGAAGAATAACGAGCTGATGTATAAAGCAACATTGTTAATGTAGTGTAGTAAGTATTGATCAGTTGTAATATTGAAACCGCGGTGTTACATATCCATGAGAAGCTCTTCGTGAGCTCCGAGTTGGGAGTGTCATATCCGTCGGTATGGAAGCTAATTGATAGGCTCCGTAAAGTTCAGAAGGGCCTCGAATTCTATTAGGACGCCATTCAATCATTGCGAGATATTATGAGGAAATCTGATCTTGGAGGAGTCGTTTTCTTATAACGAAGCCTGCAGACAATGTGGCAGAATATTTAATCAAGTAAGGGACACCAACTGACTGAAATATGAATTGAGCGGTGGCGCGCTTCCGTTGTTGAAGACAATGAAATGCGACATTCGGTGTAAATCCTTTTGAAGTTAGTGTATACATATACCTGCTGCTGTTTTAGTAAATATATTTTTTGTGTAAACGAGTGTTGCAGTACTTAACGATGACGAAAACTGTGGATCGAGAAGCGGTAGAGTCCAGGGGAGAGCCTGGATGGCTCCACTACATTTATATGACCGATGGTTTAGGGATTCCGACCTTTTTTCGATGTCAGAGTTCGCTATAATTTCAAAATTTATATTTCTCTTTGCAAATACTGATGGCATATAATGCAGCACAGTAACGAAGGTCAATTTTACGTTTATCAAAGTTAGCTGCAGTGGCCGAAGTTCGTTTAATCTAAGATTTTGAACTTGACATCCGTGCATCAGAAGAAGAAGCCACATTCCCGATGAAGCGATCAGGTGTTGGTGGGTAGAAGATGGTAGATGTCATAGATCAGATACAAGGCTAACTTAGATATACTTCTCTATAACTGCATACTGACACATTCGATTAGCCATGGCCTCTACGTGAAGCCATTCGAGCATTTATCAGGTTGGCTAGTTTTATTTTTTAGCGGTCATGTTGCATCACTTATTGTTTGTTGTGATAAATAGTTGTATCCTAGATTTGCAGTGTAGGTTTTGTTTTTAATTTTGAAATTTTCAGTTTGTCGAAATGCATTAATCTTATGGATGAGAGATTGTTGTCGTCGTCTTTGATAGAAAGTCGTCCAGCAAAGCCGCCGAACGTTCTGATTTACTCAGAAGATGATCACCGTCAGACTTTCCAGCACCATGCCGAGCGCATCGCCGCTTGTTTGAATCCGTTCAAATATACAGTGTACCAATTGCGTTATCGCCAGATGGAAAAAGACCCTTGGCCGGAGAATACGTGCTGTCTGATTCTGCTGAATACGTTTCGGTTCGAAGATTCAGACTGGAACAGACTTTACACGTACTGGAAAATTGGTGGCAAGTTGTTGTTCATTTCGTCGCAATCGCTGATACAGCTGCTGACACGGGTTAGCGACGGGCTGATGCCGTACCACCTACTCAGTCATATATTTTGCAAACGCGACCGAACTACTCATCTTCAACCGGTGCTAGAAGCATTGTCGGCATCAAACCAGTCAGTGTCCCAGGCTGAGCTTGAGTTCAGTCGTCGAGTTACGCTGAAGAACAGTTTGGACGTGGCCACCGTTGAGGCTAGTTTCGTTCGAAACACTGTTCATTCGTTGTTGATTGAAGTGAAGAACCTACTGACCGGTGGATTGGTGGTTTTCACTGAGAGCGATTTCGTGTCACATGACCCGCCTTGGATCACTCCCGTGTTGGACTGTATGAAAAAGTTAGATATAGAAATATCTGATAATAAAGAGCTTTCTTGCACCCCCGGTTACCTGTTCATCAAAGAGGTAGGCTTTCAACTAATTTGCATTGTGGCCGTAACAATAATCTTACGTTTTCTTGTTGCCAAATAGCAATACAACTACGGCTTTGCCAATTTTGGTTGCGGCTAAGAAAAGTTAAACATGTAGTTCATAAATCAGTGTTTAATGGTTTAAGTTTGAGTTTCATCACTGCCGTCATTAGACGGCTGTGATTTCTCTCTGTAAATATGCTTGTATTTTTTCTGTACAGTTAAGGAAATACAGTCAAGCCGAAGCCTATCAGTTTGCATTGTGAAAGAGAATTTGTCGATATCACTGCTCTGAAATCGGAATTTCGTTTGTTGACAGAAACAATGGTTCTTCCTGGAGTTTAGAGCTTGCAGATCTCTCGACAGCAACAGGAGGTGGACTTCCCACGCGAGGAAACAGGAGGTCAGAAATATATTGAAGTCTGTATATCGAACTCTTTCTAACGAACAGTTTGATATATTGATGTCTGTCGTCGGTCCCAAGCTGTACCCCATGCTTAAATGCCTTTTCGACCACCTGTCAAATATCTATTATAAACATTCTTAAATTTAAATTTTTTTGGTCTCTGTAAGGAGTAGTATTTGCGAAACAAATTGAAATGTGGCAGATATACAGAATAAACAGTTTTGCTGTTGAAGTTCTTCTTACAGGCTAAATGAAGAGGATCATTAACCCTGTTTCTAAGAAAGAAGTCAAACATTCTCAGGTGGTTATGTATGGTCGCGGTTCTGTCAATTTTAACTTATATGCATATGATATATAACAGGGTTAAAGCTGAATTTTAGATGAAGGTAAAATTATAGCATAAGCGTATATTATCTGATATACGACGCAGATCGCAGGTTCTGCAAAATGTAGGCACGTTGCACAATATTGGTTTGGGTTTGTTGACAGATGGGAACTGCCAAGAAACACTGAAGAATAGAAATCTCTGCTGACATTCGCCTAAGTTAGGAAGAATCAACATAGATCCTACAATCAGTTTAGCAGCAAATTGAATACCCTTATGACAGCGATTCAACAGGCAATGTTATGCAACCCTGAAATGTGCCTTCTGCTAAAGGAACGCTTACTCTGCATTGGGAATTTTCAGCATTGTCTGCTTTTCAACATTGTCTGTTACGTAATTCTAGGAATTAGCTTACAAATTCACATAACAAATGAAGTACTTAATCAACGCGGGAATCTGTCACAACTGAAATAATGCGTAAAGCGTATTCTCTAACTGAAAACCTGGTAAACTCCAACGAAAGATTTAAAGACTCAGATAAAATTTATTAAAGAGGACTCTCAGTATCCAGACTTTCGGTTATGGAAAAACCTGGCACATCTGATAGATTTGAAGTCACTGCTAAAATAACTTTCTGAGTTGTTTCAAGTTAAAACAATGTGAAAAATCCTTATAGGAATGTAATCATCTTTTCTCTTTATGACCATTTTCGTGCATGCAAATGTGCATTAAATTCTAAGTCAGTGAAAGGAAGCAGGGAATTATTCTCTTAACTGTTTACAGCTGTAGTGTTGTCACTGGTTGCAACAGTGTCCTTGCTTAAATATATCAGTTTAAGGCTGTGCAGAGACCTCCTTAACATTGGATAAGGTTCAACCACCAATTTAGGAAGGCGAAGCTGATCGGAATGAAGATGCACACAGTGGGTCGTTTTAGAGTCTGCTGTAGGGTGTATTTTTATCATATGTGTGTTGATTGCCGGAGAATTGGTAGAGTCAGAATCTGAACCAGTTTTGTTAGAAAGAGGGTAATTGAGGCATGAGGAATAGGTTAAATTTAATGTGCAGTCAGGAGCTCTTGCGTATTTCTGGAGTGCAGAAAAACTGAAATTGAATTTCTGGAGCTTCAATTGCAGTAATCGTTAATATTCCTTCCTTTGCAGGTCGTATTCAGCGGTTCACGAAGGCCATTGTCTGGTCAAAGTTGTAGTCTGCGCTTATTTCCTTTCCGGGCCTAACGCACGTAAAAACAAAAAATCTGATGACTCAGAAATCGGTAATTAAGGCAGTGGACTTAACCTGCTGTCAGCTATCAACTTCATTGCTAGTACAATAGTCAAAAGGTCTGAATCACTTGCATTAATGGTGCTAGTTGACGTCACATTCTTTGCATACGAACTCGCGGAATCTCTGTTCCGATCAGAAAAGGCGAGAAGCGAATCCATGCCAGTGATCTACTAGACAAATTCGTCCTGGCGGTCAACGCTGTCATTTCTTCTGAGATTTATAACAGATTTTGCGATTGAGAAACATGATTTACTTGGAAGCCTACCAGCTCGATGCTGAGCTATTATGTTGGGCCATCCATCATCGAGTAGTGGCATTGTTGGTAATGCTGAAACTTTTTTATGTAACTGTTCTTGCTTGCGTGCGTTTGTAGGTCCGCAAAGCCTGCGAAATGAATTGAAAACATTATTCTTAATTTCTATTTCACAAAGAAAACGAATTTCAGGCTTACATTTGTTTGTTTGATTGAAGTTCAGATTAATTTTACTTCTGTTTTTCATGTTACCAGGGAGAAGGTTAAAAACCTGCCCATCAGATTGATGAACCAAGAACCTGCGTTAATGTTCCCGTTGACGAAATCAAGAATTAAAAATATGCTTTTGATATTTACCAGGAAGAGACAGCAAGGAGCTCCTCAACATCATAATTCGCAGTTTACCTGTCCTTTGCGGAAAAGAAGATAAGACAGACCAAAACAATCAGGGCTTCAATTTATCAAAGATGAAGTGACACTAAATGAAGTTTATTGCATTTATCGACAAATCGCAGACAGCTTGGCATACGATTTGACTTGCGATGATGACATACAGTTCCAAAATCAGAAGACAGCGCAAACGGCAAGGAACTCACGGGTGTCCTAAATTTTTGCGACATCTGATATGACAATTCAAGTTGCTATCCAGTCAGTCAGTTTCGATGACCGTTTATCCTTTCGCGTCGAAGAGGCAACAGCGCCAGGCAACGTTCGCGATTTTGTGCCACGTCTGGTCTGAGATAGAATAACCTGAGTTTAAGGCCTCTAGTCACTTGCACCAAGTTATTCTTTCCCGTCCCCAGGGTATTCGTCTGGTCAGTGGAGCAAGTAGCTGTTTACCCTTTCTTTTATTGAAGCATTCGGTAAGCGTGCCAGATCCATTGCAGCTATGACATGTAAGTCAGGAGAAGCATCGATTGTACGTCAAGACTTGCTCGAATATCTAAGTTATCATCCGTCGAGTCAAATTAACTATATTGTTTTGGAGTGTTTAACGACAATGTGCGGTACTGTGTTTCTTTTTTGCCGCTGCTCCAGGACAGCGTTTTGTTCTCATTCCATTTTGTTGCCTCCCCTTTTCTAATATTTTGCTTTCTTTTCGGGTGATTTGTTAGACTGCTTTCATTTGATGGTCAGTTAAATTGTTTAGCAAATTCAACTTGAAGAACGATTCGTAAATCTCGGACGAGTGCGAGGTAAGGTCGAGGTAGAGTTTTTTCCTGAACGTTCCACGAGTAAGATCGGTCCTCCTCAGCCAGACTACGTTCCGGTGTACATCACGCCGAGAACTTGTTCATTCAACACTGAAATCTATGCCAGACATCTGACGACTGCACACCTTGGTCGCGCGCTTTTGTACGTTCCGGTGATCAGCTCGACGATGTCTCTTTTTGACGGGTAATCGTTGTATTGCACTAAGTTCTGAAGTATTGATAATTTAAATGCTTTTAGTCTCATGACTTATGATGACATCATCCAACATTTAGTTGCGGTAGCCGGCCGGCAAACTGAAGGCCAAGGTATGTTGTCAGTACCCAAATAATGCTGATGGTTCTGTCATTTGCGATATCCGTAGTATTCTTTAATTTATGTCAAATATTTTCTTGAGTTAGGTTTAGCCATGTTCAGGTATCCACGTTATTGGCAGCATTGGTCGTTTTGTTTATCGTTCTATTTTCAGGATTAAATTTGTGTGAACATTCTTATTTACCTTATTACCGAAGTAACGGTTAGTAAGGTAAATTTTTGTTACGGTTTATATCGTTATCTTATGGGTCTGCTAATTTAGCTAGAAGCTTTCTTGCTGATTTGATTTAATTTCATTTTGCGGGTATGGAATGACTAGTTTTAGAGGCATATCGACTTTGCAGGGGATATTCTCACACTATATTGTAAAGCGCGCGTCG